GGACACACAGACGTAGTTGGCGGCCTCTAAGACCACACTCCTGGAGGATGAGTTGTTAAACACAGGGCCCGGACACACACACGTAGTTGGCGGCCTCTAAGACCACACTGCGCTGGTGCCTGTAAATAAATTGATGCTTTTTTTGTTTTCATTGTGTATCTAAGACATGGACATTGATGTTTTTGTTGCAAGTAAAAAGTAATGCTAACTTTTGGTTATAGTTGTGCTCAGAGACTCTGATCTCATTGGTGGGACGTATGGTTTGGGAAGTGTGTTTACAGTGAGGGCCAGGATGTACGACCAGGATATAAGGCCAGGATATAAGGCCAGGATATAAGGCCAGGATATAAGGCCAGGATATAAGGCCAGCATATACGACCAGGATATAATGCCAGGATATGCCACCAGGAGTGGATTATAACGTCCAGTACCAACATACAGAGGACACGACGAACGCTCAGGCAGCTCCTTAATCCTAGTACTGTTGTCTTCTAAGCACAGCTAACTGTCATTGTTATTGCGTTAAGATTCCTTGAAAGAAACACTAACGGTGCAATGATCTGCACTGATTCATAAGCAGCATTACAAAGTCTTAGTAAAAATCGGGTAGAAAATCTTGGGATAGTCGCTGAAATCAAAAGAGCTGTGAGGGTACTAGTCAATCAGGGAGGAGTCGTCAAATTCTTGTTGATCCTATGTTGGAATCTGTGGAAATGAACGAGCAGATGTGCTGGCTGCTGAAGGCGCTGAAGGAGACGATATTGAATGCTTCATACCCAAAACTCTTAAACAATTTAAGGGTATTATCAGGCAACATAATCGTGACAAGGTAACTGAGGATAGAAGAACAAATCAGCGAATCTGTACGATGGTACAGTGTGGTCGCTGCTGGCAATCCCAATCATTATGGACGAAGAGGTGGTGGTCGCGGGGGAGAATTAGTAATAGCAAGAATTCGTCTTGGATACAAATAGCCATGGAGATTCAGGATGGAACAACAGTTGAGCAGCGGAGTTCAGTGCCTCTTGTCTGTCACCCTTTTTAAATATTGGTACTACATTAGCAGTCTTCCATACTTCTGGTAGGTCTCCCGTTTCCAGTGACCTACTATACACTATGGAGAGTGGCAAGCAAAGTGCTCCTGCACACTCTTTCAATACCCATGGTGAGATTCCATCCGGCCCAACAGTTTTTCTCACATCCAGCTCCAATAGGTGCTTCTTGACCTCATCTCTTGTAATTTCGAACCTTTCCAAGGTCACCTGGTTTGCTGCCACCTCTCCTAGCGCCGTGACTTCTCCCTGTTCTATTGTAAAGACCTCCTGGAACCTTTTGTTGAGTTCTTCACACACCTCTTTGTCATTCTCTGTGTACCTGTCCTCGCCCACCCTAAGTTTCATCACCTGTTCCTTCACTGTTGTCTTCCTCCTGATGTGACTGTGTAGTAGCTTTTGTTTGGTAGGATTTAGTGTGTGTGTGTGTGTGTGTGTGTGTGTGTGTGTGTGTGTGTGTGTGTGTGTGTGTGTGTGTGTGTGTGTGTGTGTGTGTGTGTGTGTGTGTGTGTGTCAGGATGGGTGGGCCTTGATACTGTGCCAAGGTGGCCCCGCCATTCACAAACACTGTAACGGAAGCAGGACCGTTGCCTAACAGAACGCACCCTTAAGCACCCCTCCTGTTAACGGCGCTGCCGAGGTCCAATGGTGGTCTTAAAAAGGTCAAGGTATTTTCGTCTGGTGTACGGAGTCTCGATAAACTAATGTTATTGCTCTTGCGATAAAAACCAAGGAACGCATTAATATTTATTGCTCGCTTGACATTATCTGGCGACGCTGTAGTTCTGACTCTTGAAGACTGGCACGCTCTCTGCCCAAAGGTGGGGGTGGAGGGCAAGAGTTAAGAGGGTGGGCAGAAGGCAGGGTCGGTTGCCTCGACTCTTGACGGGACCGGCAAGAGTCACCTACCCCCCTTCGAGGGCAGCAAGAGTCACCAGGTTACCTACAAGAGCAGACATAGCAGGTAGTGAGTTAGGTCCTGTGTAACTAAATTACTTGCAAGAGTCAGAGTCTAAGTTGCCTTAGGGCGGTAAATTCCTTAAGAAGCATCAACGTCTAATTAAGAATGTTTTATTTGATAAAGCACACTTATTAGCAGGCGAGGAGTCACAATAACGTGGCTAAATTATGTTGACCAGACCACACACTAGAAGGTGAAGGGACGACGACGTTTCAGTCCGTCCTGGACCATTCTCAAGTCGATTGAGAATGGTCCAGGACGTACCGAAACGTCGTCGTCCCTTCACCTTCTAGTGTGTGGTCTGGTCAACACACTTATTAACTCCGTGGCGAAAAACCCGGAGAGGATTGACTGGGAACAGTTCATAATTGTTCGCCCCTGTTCACCCAGCAGTAATTGGGGACCTGGTGGGAAAACTGATTGTGAGCTCATGTTCCAGGGGAAGCTATTAGAGCTGTAACTGAGGAATAATTCACATTGACGGGGACAGGAAGCCTTCACTGAGATTTATCGAGGTCAGTCCCTCTAGGCCAACAACAGACAGATACAAGGATGCCAACCACAACAGTTGCCTAGCTCCGGGTTCCTATTTACTGCCAGGTGAACAGCAGCATTAGGTGAAAGGAAACGTGCCCAGCTATTCCTGTGCCGCCTGGGGATCGAATCTGCGACTCTGGAATGCAAGGTCGAGGACATAGACCCCTGTGCCACAGGACCCCATCCATGGGTCATGGAAGATGAGCTCTGATTGGCTCCTAGACCTCGTTAACTATGTAATTGATGAGTTAATTGGCTAATTTAATGCGTGCAATATGCAGCCCGATTTGCCACTTCGTAAAAAATTCAACTATTTTGCCTAATCAGAAACGAACGACCCCAAACAACCCACCCAACCTAACGAGGCTGTTGGACATATTACGATGCTTTAAAGGATATTAATACAGTTATTAACGGATCGGTCGATGTCATGTAATATGCTTGAGAGAACGGGTTGTTGAACGAATGTGAACGAAACGTCGACTGACAAACTCTCTTAAGGTCAGCTACGAACATTTTGGGTACATGAACAAGACGTCGGTGGCTGAGTAGGCTTAGCCGCTCCGTGAACACTTGCATTGAGTTTTGCAGGGATATTCCAGCGCGGGCCCTAAGCCTCTGGCTGGCCCACTAAGTGTTGCTTGTTTCTATTTTACTTGGACGGAGTATGAGTATTTATGACTCGTATGGTCGCTTCCGGAAGATTTTGCCATATGTGTTTAACAACTTCTTCTGCTCTGTTGAATTTAAGTTGAAATCTTAATGGGTTTGTAACTGTGCACTGTGTTAGATAATGTTCCAGTGGTCTGTTGTGGCTGTAACTGTGCACTGTGTTGATATTGTTCCAGTGGTCTGTCGGGCATTTCTCCACAGTGCTGACATTTCCTCTCATCTTCCGGAACCTGTAAGCCTATTTCCCATGCACATGGGTATCCAAGCCTGATGCGATGTAAGTGTACTTCTGTTGCTCTACTGCTCCCTTTCATCAAACTAAGTGGTTCGTAGTTATTGAGGGGTTGGAACATTCTGACTCTTATGGACGATCTGTAGTGATTGGCCTCTGATTTACCAGGCCAGTATTAATTGTCTGACGGTGACGGCACACTTAAAGGCTGTCCTGATTGGCTGACGATGACAGCACATTAAAAGGCTGTCCTGAATGGCTGACGATGACAGCACATTAAAAGGCTGTCCTGAATGGCTGACGATGACAGCACATTAAAAGGCTGTCCTGAATGGCTGACGATGGCGGCACATGTAAGGGATGGCCTGATTGGCTGATGATTTACTGGAAAAAGCTATTGGTGTTGTTATGTATGTGAACTACACCTTACTGGGTTAAGGGTGCAGGGTGAACTAGACCTTACTGGGTTAAGGGTGCAGGTGAACTAGACCTTACTGGGTTAAGGGTGCAGGGTGAACTAGACCTTACTGGGTTAAGGGTGCAGGGTGAACTAGACCTTACTGGGTTAAGGGTGCAGGTGAACTAGACCTTACTGGGTTAAGGGTGCAGGTGAACTAGACCTTACTGGGTTAAGGGTGCAGGTGAACTAGACCTTACTGGGTTAAGGGTGCAGGGTGAACTAGACAACAACACTAGTTAGTGTTAAGCTGCTGGTGTGGGGAGGTTAGGAATCACCCAGACCTACACACCCACCAGGTGTGTTCACTTCCTACATCTGTCACACATGTGTCCCAGAAGGAACACATGTGTGAAAGTGATAGGTTTCAACCCATCACTTTCCCACTACTTTCCTTCCTACCTTTGGATATTGTTCACGAAACAGGTTATACATTTGTGTATAGGTTTCCTACTCGTGGATAAGTTAATTCTGGATAAGCATGTGCTTTGTAAAAGCATTTTAACTGCTGATTATATTAAAATTGAGTTATACATAAGAACATAAGGATAAAAGTAACTGCAGAAGACCTATTGACCCATACGAGGCAGCTCCTATTTATTTATTTATTATCTTTTAAGACGTTGATTTTATATATTAAGAGTGGCTGATATGGCCTTCTTCATTCTTTCCGCATATATATATATGCGGAAAATCCACAGAGAAATATGAAAGGAAGTGAACGTTTCGGCCTGTTAAAGCCTTTGTCAACACCAGACTGATCAGTCTTGTGTTGACAAAGGCTTTAACAGGCCGAAACGTTCACTTCCTTTCATATTTCTCTGTGGATTTTCCGCATATATATATATATATATATATATATATATATATATATATATATATATATATATATATATATATATATATATATATATATATATATAATATATTATATAATAATTGAATGTTACAAAGATAGAGATCGATTTTTGGCACGAATTCTTTTTATTTTTCTTGTGATATATTTTCTAGAAAAAAGTATTTAAAAAAATATATTTTTTTATTTATTTCTTCTTCACTTGAGGCCTCACTACCACCACGACCAGTTACCTCACTACCACGACCAGTTACCTCACTACCACGACCAGTTACCTCACTACCACGACCAGTTACCTCACTACCACGACCAGTTACCTCACTACCACGACCAGTTACCTCACTACCACGACCAGTTACCTCACTACCACGACCAGTTACCTCACTACCACGACCAGTGACCTCACTACCACGACCAGTTACCTCACTACCACGACCAGTTACCTCACTACCACGACCAGTTACCTCACTACCACCACGGCCAGTTACCTCACTACCACCACGGCCAGTTACCTCACTACCACGACCAGTTACCTCACTACCACCACGACCAGTTACCTCACTACCACCACGGCCAGTTACCTCACTACCACGACCAGTTACCTCACTACCACCACGACCAGTTACCTCACTACCACCACGGCCAGTTACCTCACTACCACGACCAGTTACCTCACTACCACGACCAGTTACCTCACTACCACGACCAGTGACCTCACTACCACGACCAGTGACCTCACTACCACGACCAGTTACCTCACTACCACGACCAGTTACCTCACTACCACGACCAGTGACCTCACTACCACGACCAGTGACCTCACTACCACGACCAGTGACCTCACTACCACGACCAGTGACCTCACTACCACGACCAGTGACCTCACTACCACGACCAGTGACCTCACTACCACGACCAGTGACCTCACTACCACGACCAGTGACCTCACTACCACGACCAGTTACCTCGTACCTACAGAGCCAGACTGGCAGTGAAAGAGAGAGGAGGCGCAGGAAAGACTGAAGGAGAGAGAGTGGGCGAGCATCCCTGAACCACAATGGCTGCCTCTCTCTTGTCACAGGCCACACACTTATGACTCGACCTTGGCGTCCTGACCGGACACTTCCTGGACACGTGTGACCGGCTGGAGACACGTGTGGCCGGCTGGGGACACGTGTGGCCGGCTGGGGACACGTGTGGCCGGCTGGGGACACGTGTGGCCGGCTGGAGACACGTGTGACCGGCTGGAGACACGTGTGGCCGACTGGGGATACATTTAGCCGGCTGGGGACACATGTGGCCTACTGGCATCAGACATACTTGTATATCAGTACTTACCAAATAAGTCTATGGGGAGAGGGAGGTCTATCTCCATTTGCCTCGCCTACTGATGTTGGTTGTGTTATAATTGATCTATTTCTATCGTTCTGACTGTCGACTATGGTCTTAAAGGTGTGGCTGGAGGTGGTTTTCACAACTTCCTTCAGTACATTCCACCTGTTGCCCACCTGTACAGAACTCCTCGCCTTGAGGTGGTTTTTGGGATCGAAACCTTCCCGGCTCTTCCCCCTTCCATCTCCCCAGTTTTGGAGCCGGTCGGCCGAGCGGACAGCACGCTGGACTTATGATCCCGTGGTCCTGGGTTCGATCCCAGGCGCCGGCGAGAAACAGTGGGCAGAGTTTCATTCACCCTATGCCCCTGTTACCTAGCAGTAAAATAGGTTCCTGGGTGTTAGTCAGCTGTCACGGGCTGCTTCCTGGGGGAGGAGGCCTGGTCGACGACCGGGCCGCGGGGTCGCTAAGCCCCGAAATCACCTCAAGGTAACCCTCAAGGTAAGGTAATGATGTTGCCATGTTTGTGTTCCTGCAGTGTTAATGTTGCAACTATATCCCTTAACAAATCTCTTTCTCGTTCAGATTCCTGTAGTTGCTTGTTCCTTGCAGTGAAGACGACACCCGGTCTCATTTCTGCCTTTCTCATTTTCATTATCTTACACTTCCTGGCGTTGAATTCTAACAACCATTTGATTGCCCACTCCTGGAGTTTGTCAAGATCTTCCTCTAAACCTCTTCAGTCGTCCTCGGCTCGTACAGTTGATACCTGGTTGATGGGGTTCTGGGAGTTCTTCTACTCCCTAAGCCAGGCCCGAGGCCAGGCTTGACTTGTGAGAGTTTGGTCCACCAGGTTGTTGCTTGGAGCGGCCCGCAGGCCCACATACCCACCACAGCCCGGTTGGTCCGGCACTCCTTGAAGGAAACAATCTAGTTTCCTCTTGAAGATGTCCACGGTTGTTCCTGCAATATTTCTGATGCTCGCTGGGAGGGTGTTGAACAACCGTGGACCTCTGATGTTCATACAGTGTTCTCTGATTGTACCTATGGCACCTCTTCTCTTCACTGGTTCTATTCTGCATTTTCTTCCATGTCGTTCACTCCAGTACGTTGTTATTTTACTGTGCAGATTTGGGATCAATAGTCCTCATCAGTTTTGCGTCATTCGCAGACATTGACCAGTGCTACTTCACTTACAGTTTGTAAGTCACAGCACAACTCATTCTTGAAAGTTGTCAATAACGAAGGTTTTAAACCCAGAATGACTGCCATTCTTTTTTAATTTCCCCGAATCTTTCTATCATTTTCCAAGTGCCTTTCGTATAGACTGTGAAGCTTGTTTCAGACATCATGATTTCTGAGGAAGAAGAGACATCTTGGCATTGAACTCTCTCAACTCTCACTCTTTCAATCGTTAATCTTATTTGGCATTACAGTTTTAAGTTATTTCTACAATATAGTGTCATCTGTTATGAGCCTGGGATGTTAAGATCTTGAAGTTCTTTGTTGTTTTAGTAGAAGGAAGAAAGATATTTGGAGTGCTGTTAGGCCTGAGCAGGTGTGCTGTTAGGCCTGAGCAGGTGTGCTGTTAGGCCTGAGCAGGTGTGCTTCTAGGCCTGAGCAGGTGTGCTTCTAGGCCTGAGCAGGTGTGCTTCTAGGCCTGAGAAGGTGTGCTTCTAGGCCTGAGCAGGTGTGCTTCTAGGCCTGAGCAGGTGTATAACACATGCCTGTGATTGGTAGTCTCAGGGAGGCAGATGAGACTGAGAGGAAGTCATTTGTATGCCTTTGAAGGCAATGCATCATTCCTAACTTGTCCTGTTGCCGGAGAGACGTCTCGGTGCATCCTAAGCATCTAATTGTATCTCACGTCAGGAGTAAGGAAGTATTAATAGGGTCTCGTAGTGCAGTTGGCTTCGTTCTTGACTCACAGTCGGGGATACCGGGTTCGATTCTCGGGATTTTAATCTCTCTCTCTAGCGACCATATATCCTATATGGTAAGGTCAGTTAAACCCCCCCCCCCCAATTGAACATTTTCTACTGACAAATTCTTTCCTGGGCATATTTCCCCTGGGCATATTTCTCCTGGGCATATTTCCCCTGGGCATATTTTCCCCCTGGGCATATTTTCCCCTGGGCATATTTTCCCCTGGGCATATTTTCCCCTGGGCATATTTTCCTCTGGGCATATTTTCCCCTGGGCATATTTTCCCCTGGGCATATTTTCCCCTGGACATATTTTCCCCTGGGCATATTTTCCCCCTGGACATATTTTCCCCCTGGGCATATTTTCCCCCTGGACATATTTTCCCCCTGGGCATATTTTCCCTGGGTATATTTCCCCTGGATATACTCAGTTGCAGGAGTTTTGAAGCTAGACAACTGCCAGTTACAGCTTTACACTGAGGACAAGCTGGCCACGGCCCAGGCCTGGTGACTGTGGCTCTATACTGTCTACTGGTTGGTTAAGATTCGCTACCTGGAACGAAAAGTTCCAAGTAGCACGGGCTAAGGTGAGCCCGTGCTACTGTCTCCAGAATACTACAAGGTAGACAGACCCGTCAGTTCTGTAAAATTGGACTTCGGTAGATACGGCTTTCCCTATAATCGTGCCTCCCCTCCCCCCCTGTCCAGTGTTCAGTTTGTGAACTGTCTATGACATGTTCACTTTGTTCAAGAATTGTTCATTACAAATAATTATATTGTACACAGCTTGGACTGGTAGGTTGGGTGGTGTGTGGGGGTTGGCGAGAGGCAAATGGCAATGCAGTAGTTAGGAGTTTGAAATCCGTTCCACCCCCCCGTCCACCCCCCCGTCCACACCCCCGTCCACAAAGCATATATTTCCACATCACATTGTGCCCCAGCAGCCCTTAATAAGGGCAGTAGACAATGGCCTAGTTCCATTATGTTCATCATCTCACAATGTGAGTCATCACTGGAGCAGTTTAGAGGCCAACAACTGTGACTTCAACTGCTGCTCGTGCCATATCCTAACGGACACAGTTTAATTGAACCTGGACCTTGTTAGTGGGCCTACGCACTGCCGGCCTACAGGGCTCCAGCTCTTGGGCTATGGTGGTTACTCCTTGTTAGCAGAGTTGCGCAATATTTAGTGTGATGATCAACTAATTAGTTACTTCCGTGTGGCTGTTAGTGTTTCTTAATAGTTAGCTAGAAGAGATTCCTCCCACCGTCTTAAGAAAGCTTTGGACTATACGTGTATATTTGATAACATTTGTTCTGCGTAACGTTGTACATGATGGACTGTATTATGGCAGAATCTTTCCATATCCATCATGTTCACTTGGCTAAGAATGTCCAAGTGTAGCATGTCGTGAAGGTGGAAGGTGCTTCGGGGCTCATTAACTGTTTAATAATTGTAAACAAAGCTGCTAAATATTGAGGAAAGATGTGCAGGATCGTAAGTGAATCCTACACATCGTAACTGCTTCGTGAATCCGGCCCCCTGGACTGCAGTTGACGCACAGAGCGACGCAAAAACGAGGCTGCCATTACACCTGTGACCCACAACTTAATATAACTTTCCTCCCTGCTCACTCAACTTTAAGTTCTAACACTTACAAGTGTTTTAGGCCGCTATTTGTAGCTCTCCTTGATTATGTGTGGTGTTAGTATTGGATCAGGTCGGGGTCAGAGCCAAGGGGGACAGGCAGAGGGTCAGGGGTCACAGCTGGTCAGCCCTGAGGGCTTGGGGATTGAGGTCACAGGAGACCCCCATCGGCCAGCCCATAGGGCGGGGGGCTGAGGTGATCGCTGAGGCTCGTGGCTCAGCCAGGATGTTGTTGTTGTTATAGATTCACCTACTCAGAACAATAGGTTCCAGTAGCACGGGTTATGGTGAGCCCGTGGTGGACTTACCTGGCACAGGAGCGATGCTGTACCGCCAGGAGAAATTTGTTGCACATGTTCCTCTCATTACTCACCACTAAGTTCCTCACTTTGATCTAACTCTGAATTCCTTCTTGGCTTCCTCACCTGGTTTGTACAAACCCATAATTCCTCCACAAAGTTATCCGTTTTATTTTTTATGGCTGATATGATTCATAATGGTTAGGAAGACCTTCGGGAAAGCGGCGTGGAGCAGCCGCGGTGTTCACCGTGTGATCCCAGACTACTGGGGCTCCTGAGCTTATTAAAGTGGACGAATGTTGTCCAGGATCAGAGGCTCACCATAGCCCGTGCTACTTGCCCCGCTCCTGTGCCAGGTAAGTCCACTACGGGCTCACCATAGCCCGTGCTACTTGCCCCGCTCCTGTGCCAGGTAAGTCTACTACGGGCTCACCATAGCCCGTGCTACTTGCCCCGCTCCTGTGCCAGGTAAGTCTACTACGGGCTCGCCATAGCCCGTGCTACTTGCCCCGCTCCTGTGCCAGGTAAGTCTACTACGGGCTCACCATAGCCCGTGCTACTTGCCCCGCTCCTGTGCCAGGTAAGTCTACTACGGGCTCACCATAGCCCGTGCTACTTGCCCCGCTCCTGTGCCAGGTAAGTCTACTACGGGCTCACCATAGCCCGTGCTACTTGCCCCGCTCCTGTGCCAGGTAAGTCCACTACGGGCTCACCATAGCCCGTGCTACTTGCCCCGCTCCTGTGCCAGGTAAGTCTACTACGGGCTCACCATAGCCCGTGCTACTTGCCCCGCTCCTGTGCCAGGTAAGTCCACTACGGGCTCACCATAGCCCGTGCTACTTGCCCCGCTCCTGTGCCAGGTAAGTCTACTACGGGCTCGCCATAGCCCGTGCTACTTGCCCCGCTCCTGTGCCAGGTAAGTCCACTACGGGCTCGCCATAGCCCGTGCTACTTGCCCCGCTCCTGTGCCAGGTAAGTCCACTACGGGCTCACCATAGCCCGTGCTACTTGCCCCGCTCCTGTGCCAGGTAAGTCCACTGCGGGCTCACCATACTCCGTGCTACTTGCCCCGCTCCTGTGCCAAGTAAGTCCACTACGGGCTCACCATAGCCCGTGCTACTTGGAACTTATGTTCCGGGTAGCTGAATCTATAACATCAATAACATGTCCAGGATCGCAGCCTGGTCTCCGTTGCGTCTACGGCCGTATGACCTTGGCGAGGAAAGCCACCCCCTGCTGCTCCAGGTGACTCCTTCTGCCCCTGCTGCTGCTGCATCTGTTGCAACACCTGCATCTGTTGCAACACCTGCCCCTGCTGCTGCATCTGTTGCAACACCTGCCCCTGCTGCATCTGTTGCAACACTTGCATCTGTTGCAACACCTGCATCTGTTGCAACACCTGCCCCTGCTGCTGCTGCATCTGTTGCAACACCTGCCCCCTGCATCTGTTGCAACACCTGCCCCTGCTGCTGCATCTGTTGCAACACCTGCCCCTGCTGCATCTGTTGCAACACTTGCATCTGTTGCAACACCTGCCCCTGCTGCTGCTGCATCTGTTGCAACACCTGCTGCTGCTGCATCTGTTGCAACACCTGCCCCTGCTGCTGCATCTGTTGCAACACCTGCCCCTGCTGCTGCTGCATCTGTTGCAACACATGCCCCTGCTGCTGCTGCATCTGTTGCAACACCTGCCCCTGCTGCTGCTGCATCTGTTGCAACACCTGCCCCTGCTGCTGCATCTGTTGCAACACCTGCCCCTGCTGCTGCTGCATCTGTTGCAACACCTGCCCCTGCTGCTGCCTCAGGTTTAGCGGAAAGTGGGAGGGTGAGTTGACACCATCATTTTTTCCCGCTTACGGACTTTCTTGTCATTACGTCGGCAGTTTCTCTCCCTCTAAGACTCCTGGTGGATACGCTGTCGATGGTGTGATCTCCCTGAACATGTAATCAGCATTAAGAGAAAGTCAAGGTGAGGCCTACCCACCACCGCGGCCAGATAAGGCCGATGACAGTGTTCGAGGGGGCGGGGAAGAGCGCATGAAAGTCGGATGTGATGCCAGTGTGTCTTAAAGACGTTGTCAAACTGGAAGCTATTATGTAGTGTTCATTACCTGTGGACTGGTGTATATTATTAGTGATGAGCGGTTATGATGATTTGCGGGCTCACCATAGCCCGTGCTACATGGACACTTCGTCCTGAGTAGCTAAATCTTTAACAACAACAACGGTTATGATGAGTAGAGCGATCCTGGCGCACACACCAAGAGGAGGATCAAAGCCACAAGGGCCGTGACGAGGGTTCGAACCTACGTCTGGGAGGATCCCAGACGCTGCCTTAATCATTAAGGAAGGATCATTGAATTTTATGGAATGACTCGCCCTAAATAAACACTTGGCATGCCCGAATAGAACGGAAAAAAGTGTAGAGATTTATTCTTAGTCAAATTCTCGTTACCGTGTTGAGTCCACAGGTGTGAGCAGCTCTTCATCCCGGGGTTCACAAGGTTAATACCTGGTGGAGAAGTGATTGATTGATTGATGCAGATTAAGCCACCCAAAAGATGGCACGGGCATGAATAGCCCGTAAGTGTTGGCCCTTTTGAACCATTACCAGTATCAAGAGCTGATACTGGAGCACTGTGGAGGTGCGACTGCACCCTGCGTGACGGGAGATGTCTCCCGTGGGTGGAGAAGTAACCCGAGGCAGTTTATATATATGGCGGCCATTCAACGCTTCCCTAATACCAGGAGGGGAGATCACAGGCAGTATAAGGAACCTTAAATCAGGTGATACCAGGTGACCAGCTTCATAGTAAGCGCCCCTAAAGCGTCACCGTTGTGCTAATCCACTTGTAGTTATAAATTCAGCTACTGGGAACAAAAGTTCCAAGTAGCACGGGCTTTGGTGAGCCCGTAGTGGACTTACCTGGCATAGGAGCGGGGCTGTAACTGTGCTAATCCACAATCTGACGGTCACTGCGAGTATTGAAAAGGAGGAAATAATTAGTTACCCCAGCGGGACCCATACTATCCACCGTACATCAATTACGAAAGTACAGCCATTTATTTACGGACTATTCATGCCCGTGCCACCTCTTGGGTGGCTTAATCTTTATCAATCATCAATCAGCCATTTATGGATACATTTTTTAATGGTTTAAATCACCTAATTGTACTCACCTAATTGTGCTTGCGGGGGTTGAGCTTTGTCTCTTTGGTCCCGCCTCTCAACTGTCAATCAGTCAATGGTTGATTGTATTTGTATTATACAGTATTCGTGCCGGCCATACTGTCCATCGTTCTAAATATACACTCTTTATTCTGTATAATGGAAGAGTTAGTCAAAGATATTTATACAGTCAGTTGGAGTAGTAACAATTAACACAAATTGTTCACTTGCTTGTTAGTGACGGTTGTTAATGGGAACTTGAATGGATCACTCTTGCTCGGATCTCGTCCATTGTCTGGTACCTCAGGGCAATGGGGTCTTTATAGACCTCAATACCGGGGTCTTTCCTGGTACCTCTGATGTGTTCATTATACCAGGTGACCGTTATACCAGGTGGCCGTTATACCAGGTGACCGTTATACCAGGTGACCGTTATACCAGGTGACCGTTATACCAGGAGACCGTTATACCAGGTGACCGTTATACCAGGTGACCGTTATATCAGGAGACCGTTATACCAGGTGACCGTTATACCAGGTGGCCGTTATACCAGGTGACCGTTATACCAGGAGACCGTTATACCAGGAGACCGTTATACCAGGTGACCGTTATACCAAGAGACCGTTATACCAGGTGGCCGTTATACCAGGTGGCCGTTATACCAGGTGACCGTTATACCAGGTGACCGTTATACCAGGTGACCGTTATACCAGGAGACCGTTATACCAGGTGACCGTTATACCAGGAGACCGTTATACCAGGCGGCCGTTATACCAGGTGACCGTTATACCAGGTGACCGTTATACCAGGTGACCGTTATACCAGGTGACCGTTATACCAGGTGACCGTTATACCAGGTGACCGTTATACCAGGCTTCTTACCACAAACTTTCTCCCAACATTTTAGGATTTTTTGCTTCAGTAAAAGTTCAGGAGAATCTGTCCCGTTAGTGGACTGCTTGCGGCCTGTCCTCCCTGGCCCGCTACCCGGCCTGGCTGTCCTCCCTGGCCCGCTATACCCGGCCTGGCTGCCCTCCCTGGCCCGCTATACCCGGCCTGGCTGTCCTCCCTGGCCCGCTATACCCGGCCTGGCTGTCCTCCCTGGCCCGCTATACCCGGCCTGGCTGTCCTCCCTGGCCCGCTATACCCGGCCTGGCTGTCCTCCCTGGCCCGCTACCCGGCCTGGCTGTCCTCCCTGGCCCGCTACCCGGCCTGGCTGTCCTCCCTGGCCCGCTATACCCGGCCTGGCTGTCCTCCCTGGCCCGCTATACCCGGCCTGGCTGTCCTCCCTGGCCCGCTATACCCGGCCTGGCTGTCCTCCCTGGCCCGCTACCCGGCCTGGCTGTCCTCCCTGGCCCGCTACCCGGCCTGGCTGTCCTCCCTGGCCCGCTACCCGGCCTGGCTGTCCTCCCTGGCCCGCTACCCGGCCTGGCTGCCCTCCCTGGCCCGCTACCCGGCCTGGCTGTCCTCCCTGGCCCGCTACCCGGCCTGGCTGTCCTCCCTGGCCCGCTACCCGGCCTGGCTGTCCTCCCTGGCCCGCTACCCGGCCTGGCTGTCCTCCCTGGCCCGCTACCCGGCCTGGCTGCCCTCCCTGGCCCGCTATACCCGGCCTGGCTGCCCTCCCTGGCCCGCTACCCGGCCTGGCTGCCCTCCCTGGCCCGCTATACCCGGCCTGGCTGCCCTCCCTGGCCCGTTACCCGGCCTGGCTGTCCTCCCTGGCCCGCTACCCGGCCTGGCTGCCCTCCCTGGCCCGCTACCCGGCCTGGCTGTCCTCCCTGGCCCGCTACCCGGCCTGGCTGTCCTCCCTGGCCCGCTACCCGGCCTGGCTGTCCTGCCTGGCCCGCTACCCGGCCTGGCTGCCTTCCCTGGCCCGCTACCCGGCCTGGCTGTCCTCCCTGGCCCGCTACCCGGCCTGGCTGTCCTCCCTGGCCCGCTATACCCGGCCTGGCTGTCCTCCCTGGCCCGCTATACCCGGCCTGGCTGCCCTCCCTGGCCCGCTACCCGGCCTGGGTGTCCTCCCTGGCCCGCTACCCGGCCTGGCTGTCCTCCCTGGCCCGCTACCCGGCCTGGCTGTCCTCCCTGGCCCGCTACCCGGCCTGGCTGTCCCTCCCCTGGAGGAGGGGAAGGCAGCAGAGAGGGCGGTGCATAGGAAAGTATTATGCAGCTGGAACGACCTTTCTGCCTCCGCCCTGACTCACACTGTTCGGTTTCTCTGGCGGCTGTGGTGCTCCTAATTGCTCGATGGTCGTCTCGCTGCCTCGTCTGGCCTTGGGCTAGATTTGTTGAGTCTTATAATTGTCTACCAGAAGGTTTATTCTCAGGGACGCTGGTTTAATACCATCCTAGCTCACAGGGTCTCTGGTTAATCCCATTCTAGCTCACAGGGTCTCTGGTTAATCCCATCCTAGCTCACAGAGCCACCTGGTTAATCCCATTCTAGCTCACAGAGCCACTGGTTAATCCCATCCTAATTCACAGGTCCTAGTTCAATTGGATTACCACAGTATACTTACCAGGGGCAAGCCTGAGAGGCTGTCTATCTGAATATATAGCTGTCTACTGGTGTAGACAGTAATCTACACCAGTAGACTACTGTCTACTAGTGTAGACTAGCAGAGAAAGGCTGTCTACTAGTGTACTACAAATATACAAGGTATATTTGTTGTACACTAAATACAACATTTTGAGTTTTTGTCAGATATAGACCCTGTTCTTAAAATATTCCTCCCCCTCCCCCACTTTGCACCAGCAAGATAACGTAAGTTCAAGGGTTGGCAAATGCTAATCTTGAGGTTTGAAGCTCTGTTCACCCAAGACACTTCAATCTGGTTACAAGTAATAGGATCAAACTGCCCAGAAGATGTTCTTCCTATTGTTTAAATTATATTTTGCCCCCAGGTGGCGAGTTTATTGGGCAGCGTCACCCATCCTGCGAGTGGACACACCGCCATAGTGACAGTATTGGGCAGCGTCACCCATCCTGCGAGTGGACACACCGCCATAGTGACAGTATTGGGCAGCGTCACCCATCCTGCGAGTGGACACACCGCCATAGCAGCATGTACAACACTCCCCAATAGGAAGAAAACCCGCTGGGTTGTTCATCCTGGTGTGTTGCATTCATACTCGGACGATGAATTATACTCAGTGATACGTCCTGTGTATAATTCATCACAGGGCGTATCACTGCCCAATATACTGGCCATACGGGGTCAAAATGAAACAAAATAGTTTAATAGAACATCCGTAATATCCACTCCAAGGGGTGCAAACAGCTAGTAAGTGTTGGTACAAGGCACACAGGTGGAGCAAACAACATCACCCAGTGGTTCACATGGGTGCAACTGGTTCTCGAGAACCGAGTAATATTACTGTAATTCGAGACCTTAATTGGGTATGGCCGAGGTGAGGAATGCAGGGGTAGAGGGCTAAAAATTGGGGGCATGGGTATAGGAGGGAGGAAGGAGGCACATGACTGTAGAAAGCTAAGAGAAAGTGAGGTAAGTCTACATAGGGTGGGAGGGGGGGGGAGATGGGTGGGCCGGGGGTGGTGAAGATAGGCCTAAGGAACGGGGAAAGGGGGGGGGGTTAAGGTTGAGAGAG